TCTCTCTCTCTCTCTCTCTCACACACACACACACACACACACTCTCTCCCTCTCTCTCTCTCTGTTACATGCTGCGCCTGCAACAGGCTGCACGGGCCATTTTCAGGCCCGTAACGTTTTCAGCCTGAAAGCCTGAAAACAAGGGCCTACAGGCCCTGTGTCGTTTCAGCCTAAAACAGGGCCTTTCCGGCCCTGAGACTTTTCAGCCTGAAACGGAGGGCCATTTTCAGGCCCTCATGAGTTTGACCTGCCCTGAAACTCAGGCACCAGACCAGGGTTTTAGCACAGGCCATTTTGGGCCTGTTTTCAAGACAACCCTCGGTTGAGCTTCAACACCAGGGTCTGGCACGTTTCGGCATTGGCAAGAGCAGCCTCCTGGACGGGCCAGCACTATATGGGACTGGCCCGCCCTGCAGGCTGCAGGTAGTTCCTAGGTACTTCCCAGGCACTTCACGTGCAGTTCAGGAGGCAGGAGGTAGTCTTCAGGATTCAGCAGCATCATTCTGGTGGAGCGCTGCAGCAGTAGTAGTAGCGCTAGCAGTAGTCTTCAGCGCTGGGCGCTCTTAGGAGCTACAGTAGTACTAGAGAGAGAGAGATTGGGCGGAGGCCAGGGATACTTACCTGCCGCGCCATAGCTCCAGCTTCGCCTTCGAGGTACCTGCAGCACGACGCCATCTTCACAGGTTAGTACCTGAGACACGAGAGAGAGAGAGTTCTTCTTCTTCGTCTTCTCAGTCCACCATCTCCCTCTCACCCTCTCGCTACCTGACTTCACTGCATCAGCAGACTATGAGAGAGCGGGCTTGGTGACATTTGGATCCAGACTCGACATTGGGCTTCAGATATTTGACGAGGGATTATCTGGGACTTGTACCGAAGACTGGGTGTTGACGACATTCCCATCTTCCCCCTTCTTCTTCGTCTGCTCCCCTTCTCTTCGTCTGTGTATGGACTGGACCTGGCGCATTCTTCCTGTGTGTAGCTCCAGGCCCCTTCACACCTTGTGATGAGGATGATGAATGTTTGGTCTGTGTTGCAACATTGATTGGGCTAGTCATTGGTATTCTAGCATTTTGTTGCGCTGTCTTGCGCTACGTGATAGCGGTCAGTCCCGGTCAGGTCAGGACTTGTATNACATTGATTGGGCTAGTCATTGGTATTCTAGCATTTTGTTGCGCTGTCTTGCGCTACGTGATAGCGGTCAGTCCCGGTCAGGTCAGGACTTGTATCTAAGTCTTCCACTGCGCTATAAAGCACCATTTTTGTATGCATCAGGATGTACACTGCTTGTTGAGATTTCACTTGCATTGCATTGTCCATTCAGTCCTTTTTATCACATTCTATCGGATCATCATTTGCAGTCTAAGAGTTCGAAATTTTCCTCGTTCGTAATTTCGCACTTCAGGGGGAATTGCTAGACCTACTGAACTTGCAAATGAGTATTTTTTTCTTTTTCTCGAAATTTTTGCAAAGTTCAAACTTTTCTTTTTTTTTATTAGTGGCTCCTTATCTGGGCGATTGATCCCACCCACCCCTCCCCACCTACGTTGTTGCCCCCTCTGGTCTTATCTTCTCTATCGGTCTCCGGGTACCCCCTAGGCGGCAGTGGTAAGTTGCCACGTCAGCAGACCACGTCAGCAGGCCACGTCAGCAGGCCACGTCAGCAGGCCACGTCAGCAGACCACATCAGCACGACACGTCCACAGCAGGGAGTGCCACATCAGCAGGCCCCAGCCTGGTCTATGCTCAAGCGCTCGCAAACAGCCGTCATGGACCAGAAGCCCGGGGAAACGGACGAAGCCTATCAGGCCCGGATGCTGCTTCTGATTACCGAAGCCAAGCAACGGTCCGATGCAGTAGCAGCCGCAGCCAAGAAGAAGGCAGAGGACGCCGAGAAGGCACGTCTGTTGGCAATCGAACAGGATCGCCAGCAAGACGAGGCAGCAACAAAGGCTGCCTATGAAGAACGAATTCAACAACGCGAGAAGATATTCAGCGGAGAGCGAGCTTTGCTCACAATGGCAGCGACCTGGCAGGCCGAGGCCGAGAATGGTAAGATGGAAGAGAGTGAAAAGAAGATCGCTCTACTCCTCTCCCATCTCACAGATCTCCTGGCAACATGCATTACACAACAGGAGGATATCCAAAGCCTCGACGACGCATTAGCTCAAGTCAGCAGCCGCCTCCAGCAGCTGGAGCAACGACCCGTCGCCGCCCCCGATGCCAGCTCCTCTAACACCTCCGATCACCTTGAGGCATTGGAGATTGACGTTGGATCCCTCAAGGACGACGTGCAGTTACAGCAAATCGCAACGCAATAGTTGTAGCAGCGGATTTGTACTGCCGCCACCTACTCGAGATCGGAACCGCACGAGACAACTCCAAAGTTCGATGGGCAGGAGATCTGCTGCGACTCGACGAAGACGGACCCAATTCCATGGTTCTGCAAGTTCGAGCTCAAGTTGCAGCTCCACCACGTCAGCGAACACAAGCATCACACGTAATTATACTCCCGGTCGGGGGGCGCGTGCCAAGCATGATTGGACAAATACGGAGTGGTGGCTGCCGACTTGCACACCAAGATCAGCTGGGATGATCTAAAGGTGGCGTGGCATAACCAGTTCCAAGTAGAGTCGTCGGAGATCAAGACAATGGACAAGCTGATGACCTTCGAACAAGGCACGCTGCCGAGTGTCGACTGGATTGCCTAGTACCAACGCTTGACATCCGTCCCAAACATTCAAATGGGCTTCAAGGCCGTCAAACACTACTTCATCTCGAGGTCGTGTCCGGCGTTGGGCAATGCCTTGACTCACGCCGAGGACACCCTGACGACAACGACGGAGCTCTTCGACAAGGCCGCGCAGATCACTGTCACGAACAAGGAGGCCAAGAACCTCCAGCGTTCGTTTGCGACAGGCCCGAGCAGAGATCAGCATCGGCCGAAAGTGGTCATGGTCGCGGCGGCAACGCCAAACGACCAATCTAGTGAGGTCGTGTCTGCCAATGAAGGGGACGGACTCGCAGCCGTCGGGATGGTGGCCGCCCCGGCAAAGGCCAAGGACGCGACAAGACGAAGATAAACACCGCATTTAGCCCCGGGCCCGGCGCAGCAGCTCCAGCCCCATGGTCCCACTATGGTCTCTTCGAAACGGCGTACAAGACATGCACGAGATTCTGCTATTGTCTGTAGTGAAAACAACGATCTGCACGAGACATTGGGCTGCCCGTCGAAAGGCAAGGGCAAATTGGGAACCTGAGTACCGCCGAGAGTGACTCGACGACACTCTCGACGTCTTCGGAACCGGTCACTTCGCGGGTGACCGCCCTTCTTTCCAAGGCACATGAGGAAGTCGATAGTCCTCCTCTTCTATATTCTTACGAGGACTATGCTGCCCGGCTCGTTCCTACGCTGGGTACTCATGCTCAAGGACAAGATGTGTGTGCGGCATCTTCTCCGTCCGGCAGCTGTGACTTATCGTCTTCAAGTGGTTTTTCACGGGATTCGGCACGCGAGTTCAACATAGAGGTATTGGACCCGCTCACGTCCGAGGATTTCGCATGGCTTCCTCTCCCGACCACAGGCCGCTTGCCGGGACCGCAATGCGCAACATTATACGCTCATCTTCACACATATCTATCCTTCTATGCACCACCAACTTCGCCGACGGATGACGAAGTCGCGGTGGGGGACATCCTTGCGTATGTTACCAAGGTGGCCCACGAGTTTCGCAAGCAGCGGTATGATGACAACAACGCACTGCTCCTCTATGTCCGCATCCAAGTTGGGCAAGCGTCCTGCAGCGCTTTGCTGGATAGCGGCACGTCTCGCAACTTCATGAGCCAAGCCTTTATGCAAAGGGCTGGCCTTAGCACGCAAGTTCGAAGGAAGGCAAACCCGACGGCGATCAAGTTGGCGGACGGAAGGACGCAGCAACTTATCGACCGCTACATCGAGGCCGTACCGGTCTATTTCGCACCTCATGCATGTGAACCGGTGACGTTGGACATTTTGGACACGGACTTCGACATTATTTTGTGAATGCCTTGGCTTGCAAGTGCGGATCACACGGTCAACTTCCACCGGCGGACTCTTACTATCCGCGACGCTTTCGGCGTCGAAGTGTCGTGTACTATTCCTCTTCCGCACCCTTCGATCCCATGCCAAGTGGTGACGGCCAAGTCGTTCCGGGCTACTTGCACTTACAAGTAGCCCGACGAGATAGGCCTATGTTTCCTACGGACCGTCGCGGTAGCCGACTCTTCACCCATAGACTTGTCTTCGGACCCCCGTGTGGTGTGGTTGCTTGACGAGTTCGCCGACATCTTCAAGTCACCTACCGGTGTGGTGTCGGATCGGCCGATCTCTCACGAGATCGTTCTTGAGACCGGTGTTGTGCCGCCGAAAGGTTGCATTTATCGCATGAGCGAGGAGGAGCTTACGGTCCTCCGCGCGCAACTCGATGACTTGTTGGACAAGGGTTGGATTCGCCCTAGTAGCTCCCCATATGGAGCACCAGTTCTTTTCATACGGAAGAAAAACAAAGATCTACAATTGCGCATCGACTACCACAAGCTCAACGCGTAAACCGTCAAGAATGCGGGGCCTCTTCCTCTATCGACGATCTTCTTGATCGTTTAGGTGGCGCGAAGTACTTTTCTAAGTTGGATTTGAAATCGGGATATCATCAAATTTCGATCCGGCTGAACGATCGCTATAAATCCGTGTTCAAGACGCGGTACGGGCATTTTGAGTGGGTGGTCATGCCTTTTCGCCTCACCAACGTCCCGGCGACCTTTCAAGCGGCAATGACCAACGAGTTTTGTGTGATGTTGGACCGGTTCATGTTGGTCTACTTAGATAACATTCTCGTCTACAGTCGGTCATTGGAGGATCATCTTGAGCACCGTCGACGAGTGTTGGAGACGCTCCGCCATGCCAAGTATAAAGCCAACCGTGACAAGTGTGAATTTGTTCGGCAAGAGCTGGAATACTTGGGCCATTTTGTCACACCGGAGGGCATCAGTCCGTTCTCGGACAAGATTCAAGCCATCAAAGAGTGGCCGGAGCTGCGGAACATTACGGATGTCCGTTCGTTCCTTGGCCTTGCCGGCTACTGCCAACGTTTTATCAAGGGATACTCGAAGATCGCGGCCCACTTGACCAAGCTTCAATGCGAGTATCGGTCGTTTGACTTTGGAGAGGATGCGTGGGAATCATTTTTGGCTCTCAAAGCAGCGCTATTATCTGCGAAGGTCTTGCGCATATACGACCCGCTATTGCCAACGCGCGTCACTACGGATGCGTTCGGCTATGGCATTGGTGCCATCCTCGAGCAACACAATGGCATGGACCGGCACCCAGTCGAGTATTTCAGCAAGAAAGTGTCCGTCGTGCACTCCATTGATGATGCACGAAAGAAGGAGTTTCTAGCCTTTGTCCACGCGCTCAAGTGGTGGCGGCACTTTCTCCTTGGTCGAAGTCAATTCTGATAGGTAACGGACAACAATCCGTTGGTCTTCTACAAGACCCAAGACACCGTCAATAGCACCATCGCCCGTTGGATGGCTTTCATCGACCAATTCGACTTCTTTCCCGATCACATTTCGGAGAAGTCTAACCATTTTGCGGATGCTCTTTCACGGCGTCCAAATCATTGTACCGCAGTCTGTTCGACCTTCGAGATCGACGACGAACTGCAGGACAGTTTCATCCGCGGCTACCAAACCGACCCCGAGTTTTGCGTCAAGTACGAGAATTGCTCCTCTCCTAATCCGGCGCCTTCTCACTACCGGATCCAAGAGGGGTACTTGCTTGTCCACGGAAATCGTTTGTGACCGGTTTATGTCCGATTTTTGGTTGGTGCTCATCAAACGATGAGGCTCATCTCTCAAGCTCGCCACCCCCAAACCGATGGCCAAACGGAGAGGGCGCATCAGACCGCACAGGTTCTCCTTCGCACTCTCATCCGTCCTTTTGCACTCTCATCCGTCCCGACCAAAAGGATTGGGTTGAGCGGCTGCCAGATGTCGAGTTAGCATACAACTCGTTCATCCACCCGGCTATCGGGATATTGCCTTTCGAGTTCAAGCACGGCTCGTCGGTAACTTCTCCGTTGGACACAATCATTCCACGAACGGCCGAGAGCGATGACCATCTTTTTTTCTTGCGTCGGATGCAAGAGTTACTTGTCAAGGCACGCGACCAGATGGCTAAGACGCAGCAACGCATGAGGCAACAGGCCAATCGCCAGCGTCTTCCTTGTCCATTCCTCACCGGCGATCTCGTTTGGGTTTCGGCCGCGGAGTTCAGCCTCGAACAAGATATCTCTCGCAAGCTCCCCCCGAAATGGATGGGGCCTTGGCCGATCGTGGCACCCGCCGAGGATGCACCCGAAGGACCTTCCTTCATCATTCATGTGATCGCCCACTTGCTCGTCTACTCGGTCTTTCATTGCTCAAAGTTGGCTCTTTACACGCCAGTGGACGATGACGATTTTCCCGGGCGACAATCGCAAGACCCACCCTCCATGGATGGTTTTCAAGAGGTCGGTGACATCATCTCCCAGGGACGCTACGGCAACAGGCCGACCAGGTACTTAGTACACTTTGCGTACTGCACTCACAAAGCTGACCGTTGGTTGACCCGTGCGGAAGTCCAAGCAACAGCTCCCGATGTTCCCGCACGCTACGAACGCAAGATGCAAGGCAAGTCGGTATCTTCGGCTCCATGTCGCACCCGCGTCCAGGTTCCACCTTCAGATCGTCAGCTTCGCCCTCGACCCGACTTGACTTCATAAGGAGGGGGGGGTGTTACATGTTGCGCCTGCAACAGGCTGCACGGACCATTTTCAGGCCCGTGACGTTTTCAGCCTGAAAGACTGAAAACAAGGGCCTACAAGCCCTGTGTTGTTTCAAGCCTGAAAGCCTGAAAAAAAGGGCCTACAGGCCCTGTGTCGTTTCAGCCTAAGACAGGGCCTTTCCGTCCCTGAGACTTTTCAGCCTGAAACAGAGGGCCATTTTCAGGCCCTCCTGAGTTTGACCTGCCCTGAAACTCAGGCACCAGACCAGGGTTTTAACACAGGTCATTCTGGGCCTGTTTTCAAGACAACCCTTGATTGAGCTTCAACGCCAGGGTCTGGCACGTTTCGGCATTGGCAAGAGTAGCCTCCTGGACGGGCCAGCACTATATACGACTGGCCCGCCCTGCAGGCTGCAGGTAGTTCCTAGGTACTTCCCAGGCACTTCACGTGCAGTTCAGGAAGCAGGAGGTAGTCTTTAGGATTCGGCAGCATCACTCTGGAGGAGCGCTGCAGGAGTAGTAGTAGAGCTAGCAGTAGTCTTTAGCGCTGGGCGCTACTAGCGTTAGCAGCAGTCTTCAGCGCTGGGCGCTCTTAGGAGCTAGAGTAGTACTAGAGAGAGAGAGATTGGGCAGAGGCCAGGGATACTTACCTGCAGCGCCATAGGTCCAGCTTCGCCTTCGAGGTACCTGCAGCACGGCGCCATCTTCACAGGTTAGTACCTGACACACGAGAGAGAGAGAGTTCTTCTTCTTCCTCTTCTCAGTCCACCATCTCCCTCTTACCCTCTCGCTACCTGACTTCACTGCATCAGCAGACTACAAGAGCGGGCTTGGTGACATTTGGATCCAGACTCGACATTGGGCTTCAGACATTTGACGAGGGATTATCTGGGACTTGTAACGAAGACTTGGTGTTGAAGACATTCCCATCTTCCCCCTTCTTCTTCGTCTGCTCCCCTTCTCTTCGTCTGTGTATGGACTGGACCTGGCACATTCTTCCTGTGTGTAGTGCCAGGCCCCTTCACACCTTGTGATGAGGATGATGTATGTTTGGTCTGCGTTGCAACATTGATTGGGCTAGTCATTGGTATTCTAGCATTTTGTTGCGCTGTCTTGCGCTACGTGATAGCGGTCAGTCCCGGTCAGGTCAGGACTTGTAT